CATGACCTAAATGTGATTACTAATAAATAAGATGTGGTTCATTCAAATTACATTGAAATTGGTTCATGTGAAAGGAGGTAACAAAAATTAAATGAATAAAACACACGAAATCAATGTTATTGTTGTGATTGGGGAATTCATTTTAATTTTATTTTTTTTCATGTACATAATGTGATCTATGTCTCAAAATGGTATAGCTCACTTTCCATGATACCCTATCACCTTGTACATGCACCAGTTTCAGAAATGTAAATCAAAGTATAAAACATGCAGCGGAATAAAATGTTTAGATCATACCTTATTTGATGATAGAACCTCATGGATAAATCATGTGCTTCCTGAATCTAGTCAATCAACCCAGCAGTGAAGTGATATTACAATATTGAATATCACCCACACAAACCACGGTGCAAATGGCTTTGATCGTTATTTTGAGAGAGAGTCAGTATCTTGAAAAAAAACAAACATACGTTATTTTTCCACTTAATCACCCATATCCCATATATCAGATATATAATCTATTTATCTCATTTATCCATTTGTTAAATGAGATAATATCTGATATCTATATCATCTATCCATATCATGATATGATAGATATATATCCTGAGTGGCTATCCAAATAGGTTTGAATTCAAATTCAAAACCCATTTGGATGAGGTTCAAAAGGTTCTAAGGGTCATGCCACATGGGCGCCCAATTTCTAACAAACTGTAACTCTGATATGTTGACCATTACCAGCCCTTCAACGAATTCTGCAATCTAACAAAGTTTTAGCTTCATGGATACTACGCCAAGTAAACGATGGGTAAAGGAGCCTTAAGAAAATTAGTAATATTAGGGATTATGAAAAAAATATCATGAAAATTATCATGAAAGATTTTCAACCTTTGGATTACCCATACAATAAAATGCTACACACTAATCAAGGAATGAAAAATCTTCATGTTGCATTTCATGATATATTTTTCATGATCCCTAACATTACACTAAGAAAATTTGGTAGCATTTGGTTTGATTTTTAAATCATAATTTAGATCAAAAAATTTCAAAACTCATAATTAAACAAAGTTTTCAAAACTCTATTTTTTTTATAATTTTTTTTTATTTTATTCTTTAAAACTATTTTTTATTTATTAATTTTTTTGAAAAATATTTTTTTTATTTTATTTTATTTATTTTTTTGAAAAAAATATTTTGTTCTTTTTTTTTTGAGTATTTGATAAATAATTTGTTATGATTATTTCAAACGTTATTAGCGACTGCACAGTGCCGTCGCAAAAATTTTTTTGCAACCCCTGCATTTGCGACCCCCTCCTTGCCGTCGCAAAAAGTCATTTTGCCGTCGCAAAAAGTATTAGCGATGGCATTAGGAGTATTAGTGACGGTATTTTACCGTCACAAAAAGTCAATTTTTTTGTAGTGAATATATTGTTAGTGCAAACTTTCGGATGTTGATATAGGCAATTAACTTCTGAACAAATGGCTTGATGGAAACATTTCGAGTCGCGTCACAATGTTGCTTTCCTGAAAATAGTATTTTTCCCTACCACTAGATGGTGTGCACCAAGTTGTAACAATTTTGCCTTCAAGATACAACAAAACTTGATTTAATGATCTTTTGTGTTGCACTTACATTGATAAGGACATAGTAAAATACTTACAGAAAATTAAGAATAGGAAAAACCAAGGGTATAATATTTTGTTTATGCAGAATAACAATATCTTAGAATGAGTAGAAAATTCTTGATCGAAAAATCTAAATGAGAGATATCAAATTGCAAAAATTGATTATGAATTTTGGGATTTAATGAATGGCTAGATTGCAAGCCTTTATATTGGCGTTTGTACACCTAATTGGATGGAGAAAGTTGGTGAAAAATACACTCTAACAATTGTCTAAGGCATTAGGTCTAATAGATATTTTTTGTTGGTGAGAGGTCCACCTTTCGTAAACTAGCTTGGTGAGAAGTCTTGGAGAACATTTTATTTTCAATCTTACCCCTTGACTTTTTTTATCTGTTTGACTTTTCGTTGACTATCTGTTCAAATTTATATCTCTCTGTTGAAATTTTTTTTCTATCCTTTCAAAATTTTTTTTTTTTTAAATTTTCCTTATTTGTTTAAATTTTGTCTGCCTGTTCAAATTTTTTCTAGTAAAATTCAAATTATTTTTATCTATTGAAATTCTTATCTATCAAATTTTTTATCTGTTTAATTTTTATCCAAATAAAAGATATCTGTTGAAATTTATCTCTTCAATCAAAATTCCTATATGTTCAAAATTCCTATCGATTGAAATCATTTTTTAATCTGTTGCATTTTTTTAAACCTATCTGTTCAATTTTTTGAACAGATCTCAAATTTGATCTGTATAATTTTTAGCTACAACAACAAACTAAATAAAAGTTATCTGTTCAACACAAAAATAAAAACAAAAACAAAAACACTTCTAATGAAACAAAGAGAATTCCATATCTCCTAATTTTTTTTAAATAGATCTACTTTTTATCTGTTCATTTTGATCATCTCTTCAAATCTCTCATAGTTACAGATCTAATTCCACAAATTCAAATACCATTGAAGTACCTACAGATCTGTTTCATCATCATCAATAATAATATATATCATCATCAACAACAGCAATAACAAAAACAAGAAAAACAATAAAATCCAAAGCCAAGATCTATTAAATCTTAACAGATTTGTCACAAGAAGGAAGAAAAAAATCAAAGTTAAAAGTATATAATTTTTCAAGAGACCATATTAGGGATCGAAACCCTAGAGTGCATAAATTATGAAGGAAGCTCGGTTTGAGATTGGTGGATTCGGAATTTACGATTTTAGATAGGGTCTCATCTTGGCGAATGAAGAACCTAATGAGACCTGCCCAAACAAAGGATCAAATCAAACCAATTAGATTATACAAGGTGAATACACACACACACACACAGGGGTTAAAGAATGGAAAGTGAAGGAGAGAGAAAGTGAGATTTCGCTGTCGTAGCTGGTTGCGCTGCTGGTTGACGGTAGCGTTGTTGGTTGCTAGATGGTAGCGTTGCTGGTTGCTCCCCCCACGGCGATGATCTGAGGTTCGGTGATGGTGAGCGAGGAGACGAGATCTAGGGTTTAGAGAGAGATAAACTAGGGTAAAGAGAAAGAGAAACATAAATGAAAGAGAGATGAGAGAGAATGGGTGACTCTACAGACTCAGCGTCTCTGATTACTCAGCATTGTTGATTCGAGTGATGGTAGAGTCGTGGTGGTTAAACTCAGATCCGAGGTGGTGGTGTCGGCGGATGAGGGAGATGGGACGGTGTGTGTGTGTGTGAGTGAAAGAGAGAGAGAGAGACAGACAGACTGTAGTTTGGTTTGGTTTGGTTTTAGGGTTTTGGAAATAATATATATATAAATGGGTAGTTTGGTCTTTCTGTGGGAGGTTATTCTTATGAACAAAGAAAATCAATGCCTGGACCATTGGACAAAGAAAATCCAATTTTGGTCTTTTGGCTCGAGCGCCCTATTGGATGGGCTATGACCAACACTTAATTGCACCTTATCAATTGTGACTCAAATCTAATCACTAAATTAGACATCGATGATACAAATCATATCGCACACTAAAGCGGTATACCGACTAGATAAATTCGATGATGATTGAGTGCCATCTGATCCGTCTGATCACACTACCAAGATCATTCCACATCATTGCCATATGGAGATTTGTGAATGCTACATCATCGCGACTTATGTTTTTATTGCAAAAAAAAAATTGCCTTCATCGTGCCTGTTTTTTTTTGAACAGCTTCATCATGCCTGTCATGCCCCCATTTTTTTTGTTATTTGTCAACTTGGACATGTAGATACATTTGTGAATTGTATTGTCATTAAACTCTGTACCTCTCTGTTTATAGATTAATCATTAGACTTTGAACGTGTTATTATGAACACTTCAGTTTTTGAGCAGGTTATATGGATAGAAAAACACTTAGTGTAAATACTGTATTGGTGATAAATTCCATAGTGTAAATAGCAATTCTTAAATAAATGTGCATGTATGAATTGACTCCTTGCACCAACTGATTGCAACTTGCAAGTGCATTCATCTTTCGTTTACATTTTTATTTTATTTTTGATATTTTTTAAAACAAAAACCAAAAAAATTAAAATTAAAAAATATTCAAAAGCATCCATATATTTTTATTTTTGTATAAAAAATGTTATTAAGAGTTCAAAAATAAGTTTTTGATTTCCTAAATTGCAAATGGTTTTATTTTTATTTTTAAATTTAAGATACAATCGATTAAGGTCATGTTTGGCAACTAATAATTTAAGTCAAAAAATCATTAAAAATTGTCACATCACTCACTATTTTTCTATATTTCCTTTCATAAAAAAAACAAAAAAATCACTAAAATAGTCAATTTTCAAACGAACCCTGATGCTCTATTTGGTTCATTCTTAGAATGGAATGAAATTGTGATTCTTTAAGCTTTCCTATAGAATGGCCATTATCTTAAAATTGTGAAAAATGATTTCATTTGTACTGCATTTATCATTATTTTTAGTCTAACCAAAGAAGGGAATGAATATTTTGATAGAATAATCATTTTATTTCATTTCATTCTAATAAACCAAACACTATCTAAGGTTTTTATTTTATATTTTTTTTATGGATAGGACGAATCCTAAGTCTTGGTTGATTTAGGATAGGGAGAATTACGTGTAGGTGAGAGAAGAGGAAACAAAATTACAAATACATGGGGTGCAAGTATGTCTATGATAGAGTGTAAATAAAAAACTATGGAGGTGCAATCTATGTATTGGCAATTTTTTTTGCTTTCTCCTGCTTGCATGTAATTTCATTAAAGATATACTATTTAAGACCTAAATAATGTTTGTGGGCCTAAGCCAGGCCCAGTTGCAGTGCCAGCACCAGCCCAAGTCCAACTTTGGAACTGTTTGTGTTTGAGTGGGTGTGTATAACAGACAGCTGCCAACGAAACGAGCCTCTAAACCCTAGACAGCCGTTATCTTCTTCCCTCACACCTCTCTCTCTCTCTCTCTCTCTGTTTCTCTCTCTTCAATGGCAGAACTTCAAAACTCCTCTCTTCATCCTCCACCTTCATCATTGTCTAGGGTTAGCACAGAGACGGTGCAAAAGGCAGTGAAAGCTCTTCTCAAATGGCGAACCTCCCAATCAAAAACCCAAAAACCACAACTCTTCGATCAAGACGACGATTTCATCTACCTAATCCTCTCTCTCAAGAAAATCCCTCCAAAATCTCGCACAAACGCTTACAAAATCCCCCTCCCCCACTCTCTCCGCTCCAATTCCGTCTCCTCCGAGTTCTGTCTCATCATCGACGATCGACCCAAAAACTCCTCCAAACTCACTTCTGAATCGGCCAAGAAAAAAATCAATTCGGAGGACATACCAATCACCAAAGTCCTGAAGTTATCGAAACTAAAATCTGATTACAAACCCTTCGAGGCGAAGCGCAAGTTATGTGATTCGTTCGAAATGTTTTTTGCTGATAGAAGAATTATTCCGCTGCTTCCCAAGCTTTTAGGGAAGCAATTTTTCAAGAGGAAGAAGATTCCTGTGCCTGTGGATTTGAGTCATATGAATTGGAAGGAACAAATTGAGAAGGCGTGCTCGTCGGCGCTTTTGTATTTGAGGACTGGGACTTGTAGTGTTGTGAGAATCGGGAAGGCTTCGATGGAGAGTGGAGAGATTGTGGAGAATGTGATTGCTGCCATTGATGGGGTTGTCGAGGTTTCTCCGAAGAAGTGGGCTGGTGTGAGGTCTTTTCATTTGAAGTTTTCGGACTCTGTCGCGTTGCCGATTTATCAGACGTTGCCTGATATGAAGCTGAAGATTGAAGGGAAAAAGGAATTTGATGAAGGGGTTAGAAAGGAATTTGATGAAGGGGTTAGAAAGGAATTTGATGAAGGGGTTAGAAAGGAATTTGATGAAGGGGTTAGAAAGGAATTTGATGAAGGGGTTAGAAAGGAATTTGATGAAGGGGTTAGAAAGGAATTTGATGAAGGGGTTAGAAAGGAATTTGATGAAGGGGTTAGAAAGGAATTTGATGAAGGGGTTAGAAAGGAATTTGATGAAGGGGTTAGAAAGGAATTTGATGAAGGGGTTAGAAAGGAATTTGATGAAGGGGTTAGAAAGGAATTTGATGAAGGGGTTAGAAAGGAATTTGATGAAGGGGTTAGAAAGGAATTTGATGAAGGGGTTAGAAAGGAATTTGATGAAGGGGTTAGAAAGGAATTTGATGAAGGGGTTAGAAAGGAATTTGATGAAGGGGTTAGAAAGGAATTTGATGAAGGGGTTAGAAAGGAATTTGATGAAGGGGTTAGAAAGGAATTTGATGAAGGGGTTAGAAAGGAATTTGATGAAGGGGTTAGAAAGGAATTTGATGAAGGGGTTAGAAAGGAATTTGATGAAGGGGTTAGAAAGGAATTTGATGAAGGGGTTAGAAAGGAATTTGATGAAGGGGTTAGAAAGGAATTTGATGAAGGGGTTAGAAAGGAATTTGATGAAGGGGTTAGAAAGGAATTTGATGAAGGGGTTAGAAAGGAATTTGATGAAGGGGTTAGAAAGGAATTTGATGAAGGGGTTAGAAAGGAATTTGATGAAGGGGTTAGAAAGGAATTTGATGAAGGGGTTAGAAAGGAATTTGATGAAGGGGTTAGAAAGGAATTTGATGAAGGGGTTAGAAAGGAATTTGATGAAGGGGTTAGAAAGGAATTTGATGAAGGGGTTAGAAAGGAATTTGATGAAGGGGTTAAAGAAGAGAGTAAGGAAGATGAGAAATTGGGTAAGAAAAAGGGTGGGTTGAAGAAGAAAGGGAGGATTCATGAAGTTAGGTATATGGATAGTGAATTGGAAGGTGCATTGGGGAATGAGGATGATGAGGAATATATTGGGAGTGAGAAGAGTGAGAATGATGGTGAGGGTGGTGATGAATTGGGGGGTAAGAAGAGAAAGAAGGGTGATGCATTGAATGGTGGAATGGTTTCAACAAAATTGAATGGGGAGAAAAGATCGAAGAAATCGGCTACTAAAGTAGAGAGGGCTGAAGAATCTGTTCAAAAGAAAGTTAAGAAGGGTGGTGTTGGAAAGTTGAAGGATGGGGCACGCAAGGTTAAGGATAAAAAAAGTAAGAAACAACTGTCAGCCCAGTGATTCATTTGGAATGTGTTCTGTCTTTGGCATTGCTGAGGAACTTAGCTGGAAGCATGTTGCATTTGGAGTCCTTGAGCAACTTTTTGCTCAAGTACATGAATTTTGGTATTTTGTTTTATTTGTTGTTCTGGCTTTATAGTTTGTAAGTTAGTTTATTCAAGGATTTTAACATCGGCTAATCAACTTGCTTTGGTGTAATGATTCTGAATGAATTACTATAACTGAGTTTATCTTTAGTTTGTTCTTTGGAAGCTTCTTCAGTTTTAGTGTGACACTTGTGGGAAAAGCTCATTCATTGTTTCGTTGACTTATCAATTTGCTTGAGTATACATGAGTAGGTGCTATACATGAAGACGTTGTTGTAATGCTTTATTATTTATCAGGTTCAACTGTTATTAATAGAATTGGTCTATGATATCTAATGAGAAAAACAGAAGGAAGAAACTGTTCTAGGATATTGATTAATATGGTTGGCTTGTTTTACTGTGATATAGCAATATGGACCATTGACTTCAAGTCTTTGAGAGGTATGCTTTATATTTTTTCAAGCTTTTCTAAAGTGGGATGGTGAAGTTAGGATCCAATATTATATACAATAAAGATGAAGATTCATCATATTTTCTTCATAATTTTGAAATTTTGTAAAAATCATTGTTTATTAATTTTTTTCTGTTATTTACAAATTTTCTTATTGCTTGCGGTGGTGGTAAGCAACTGGTGTTTTAGTCCCCATTTACATGAGAATTTTCACCACTGCCATGAGAATAAGCAAGCAATATGAAAGGCTGTTGCTTAGTTTGACACTATAACAGCACTCATTTCCATGGGGAAATGTTGCTGTTACCAAGAACTTTTTCAGCATGTCCCCAGTATGTCTGTAACGTGACCCCAGCGTCAAGTATGGGGATCAACTATCCATCAAGTGTGGCATGGAGCTTTGCTTGTGCAAAGTTATTTATGCAACTCAGTCTTTTTATGACTTCTTATGAGAAGAAAGAATATGCAAGATGGAGGAATACATATGTCGACGGAGTTGGTATATGATGAGGGGGGTAATATATGTCACCCCTTATGAGTAAAATTTTCCATGCAGCTTTTATTTCTAAAATGTGTTAGTAAGTTTTGTTTTATTTACACAGGCCTGATTCCTACAGATAATCCCTTACTCTTATTCAAGGTTTTAAAAGCGGCCGCAACCATTACGTAACGCCGTTACGTAACGGTTGTGGTGGTTACCGCCACCCTTTACGGCCGCTTTTGCAGTGTGACTGAGATTCACAGGTATGTCGGCCGCAGTGGCTGCCATAGCAATCGTAACGGCCATAACGGTCTGTTACACACTATTACGTAACGGTTCTGAACTGCTTCTTTCGGAAAAATACAAAAAAAAAAAAAGTTGAAAATGGGAAAAGAGAGATAGAGAGATAGAGAGAGAAGAGGGAAGATGGAGACGGAAGATAGAGGAGCAAGAGAGAGAGAGAAGATGCAGAACATATTATTGATTTGTTGAAGTTGTAAGACCTATACTATTCTATTCAACTGTTATCACTCAACCATTTTGTTTGTGTGTGTCTATTTATGTATTTAGGCTCTTATTTATTCTCTTACTTTTGTCATTGGGTATCTTATATATAATAGTTAGTGATTTGACTTTTTGTATAATATAAAGTCATTAATTATTAAAATAAAATGTAAAAAACTCAATTTATAGTGATTTAAAAATATGAAATATATTGGATCATACTTAAAAATTTACAAAAACTGATCAATATTTATTTTAAAACCCAATAAATATGATCATGGAAAAAAAAATGTGCGTATCAGTAAATTTTTTTCAAATTGTGAGAAAAATAAAAAAAATTTACGGTTCCGGTTACCGCAACCGTAACGCTACAACCTTTACACCCCGCAACCACAGCCACACCACTGCCACCGCCACCGTTACAGTGGCCGCAACCGCTTTTCAGAACTTTGCTCTTATTACTTTTGTAAGGATTGTGACTGCCGATCACTTGATTACAAGTATAGCTCAAGATTGTTTATGCTTTGTTCTCCTATCTGAAGTTGCATGAGTAGAGGAACATGGAATTTTCCATAGCAACCCAAACTTTGATACTATTTGTATCCAGTCGATGATTTTGTAATTGAATCTTAAAGAAATTTAAGGAAGCTTCTGTTAGGGGGATTGTATATTTTGTTGAATTAAAATCCCATTTTCTAGTAATGCAAACACAAAATTAATGGGACAATTCTGGGAATTCATTTCTTTGTCATGCTAAATGCAGCCTTTGATCCAGAGGTTCCATAAGTTGTCATTAAAAATGCAACATCTTGATTATAGTGGTTGAGATTATACAACACAAGGTATACCATGTCAACTGCTGTGTAGAGGCCTGTATTCTGTTTTAGAGTCTTGTGCCCTTTTTTCTCTCAATTTTCCTTTCAAATTGTCTTGATTTATTTACTTCTGTACATGTATAGTATGTAAGAATCTGCAGCTGTGAAGCGGGGCTGTTTTATCAAGTTATTATATCTATCTCAGCTCCAGTGTGATCTTTTGTTTTTGCTATTGCTGCCTACTAATTTGTGATTGGAATGTCTAAAACCTCTTTAGCAGTTTTTGCCCCCATAATTTTGTTGTCCTGTTACATACAGATCCTCACCTAGTTGTCCTAACTGCCGTCATAGTTTTGGGAGGCACTTTTGCTGGTGGAACAAGGTGAGACATACATTCAGTACTGTTGTTGCCATTGTCGTAGTTAATTGTTTAAGGCATATATTGTATTGAAATATTTGTGGTGTTGTAATGTATTCCATTTTGAATCCTTAAAAGTATGTGTCTACACCAATATAAAAACACAGGAATTCTGGAGAGGGTAGAAAAGCAATGCTCTTGTTAAAGCACAAAATTTTGAAGAGCACAATGCTGGGACGCACTAAAAAAGGGTAGGGAAAAAGATCTTGCGCTTCCTCCAAGAATTGTAAGTCTTTCCCTATGCCACTAATGGTTGCATCTGCATCAGTCATAAAATCTTCTGATATTTATTAAGTTTAATTTTTTTCTTCAGATTACATTGAGATGGAACACTCTGGATGTCAAAGAAGAAGACTATTATACATCATTGCACAATGACAGTCAAGCGCAAGATTACATTGAGATGGAACACTCTGGATGTCAAAGAAGAAGACTATTATACATCATTGCACAATGACAGTCAAGCGCAATTTAATACGTATAGCACCTTCTATATCCACGCCTTTGCTCATTAGTTTGGCTATAAGAACATAGTTTTTTTTAATACTCCTAAATCTCTACAATTCATCTTTTACAAGTCCGTGCTTCTAGTTCTTTGCATCATTTTAATGTTGCAACTCTTTTGGATGTGCTGACTCAATTTACAAAAAATATGGTGCACATTTTTTTAATTATTTTTTTATTCGTGATATTGTCATTGTATTGATTTATTTTATTATTTTATTTTTTTTCAGAATCTTGTTTCTTGTAATCAAAGAATCACTTTTTTGTTTCTCCTAAATGTAAAATGGTTGCACTCCCCCTACTTAACACCTATAAACCATCCCAAAACCAGGTGAAGGTGGGATTTGATCGCAGGTCTCTGGTACTTCGTACCACACTAAGGCTGTGTTTGGTTCATGGATTTTGGAAGAGATTTAGAAATGGAAAGAGAAAATGTGAATAAAATATAACTACATTTCATACACTTTTCACACACATTTTCCTTTTTCCTTTCCTTTTCTAAATCCCTCTTTAAATCCATGAACCATACACAACGTAAGACTTTACTTGCAAAGGTAGCTGACATCTTCACCCAAGCTTGTGCTCTTCTTTACAAAAACTTCTCCATTCCTATTGACCCATAGTTGTCCCATCTCATATGAGGAGCAGTTCTTCTTTTTGTTGGAACATGACACCTCACAGGGACAGGGATGAGAACTCAGTCAGTCCTGTTGACAAGTTTGGCTGGAATCCTTTCATTGGGCTTTCTGGATTTTGATGCAGCACATCATAGGTGTAAGGATGACGTGCATTGTTTGACAAATGGAATTTGGTTTGGACTAGGGCTGTCCATGGGTTGGATCAAATCGGATTTGCTCTCAACCTAATGACTGAACCGAATCCCTCGGATTGGTAGAAAGGTCACCCATTGCTGACTGATCTGCTATTCGAAATTGACTGAGCCAAACCATTTGGTTTGCTAGTTAGTTCAGTTAGTGATACATACACACTATTTTGGAACAGTACAACATCTTATATGCTCTTTACAATGGCCCATCCAAAATATGGGCCCAACTTAGGGCTACTGCCCACTACAATAATGGAGGACAGGGTCGTCATGTCATTCATGTCAACATATTAGGGTTAGGGTTATGGTTTCGTTCAAATGACTGCATAATATATATGGATCCTCTTGATAAGGTTCTGTCTTCGTCTCCTCTGTTATACCCTATTTTTGAAATTTCTTTATTTGTTTGTTTCATCGAAGATTGGATTGTGTTTTTCTGTTTAAGTTGATTAATGGGGGGCGATGAAGACATAAATCGTTTCTCGATCCTGATTTTCGATTATAATATCGTTATCTGATGACCTATTTGTGCGTGTCTGAGCCTTCTTGTTTTTGTTTTTGATTTGAATGTGGATCAAAGATGAGAAATTTACTTAGGGGGTGGGGTTTGCGGTGATTATGAAGTAAATTCCTCGTAATGAATGCAAACTTTTGCGTGACAGAGTCTATTTACACCCATAGTGTTTGTGGGCCTATGCTAGGCCCAGTTTCAGTCCCAGCCCAAGTCCAACTTTGGAACATTTGTGTTGGTGTTTGAGTTTGTGTTTGTGTGTATAACAGCTGCAAATGAATCCCTAATCCTAGATAGCCGTTTTCATCTTCTTCCTAAACTCTCTGTCTCCGTTTCTCCCTCTTCAGTGGCAGAACTTGAAAACTCCTCTCTTCATCCTCCTCCAATGTCTAGGGTTAGCACAGAGACAGTGCTAAATGCAGTGAAAGCTCTGCTCAAATGGAGAACTTCTCAATCAAAAACCCAAAAACCCCAACTCTTAGATCAAGACAACGATTTCATCTACCTAATCCTCTCTCTCAAGAAAATCCCTCCAAAATCTCACACAAACGCTCACAAAATTGCTCTCCCCCACTCTCTTTGCTCCAATTCCCTCTCCTCCGAGTTCTGTCTCATCAGCGACGATCAACCCAAAAACTCCTCCAAACTCACCTCCCAATTGGCCAAGAAAAAAAATCAAATCAGAAGACATACCAATCACCAAAGTCCTGAAGCTATCGAAATTAAAATTGGATTATAAACTTAAGACTTATCTCTGAATATTTCTCTTGCATTTCTTTAAGTTCACCTTCCATTGATTTGTTCCTCTCCCTCAGCAATGCTATTTCATTTAATTATTGATCAAGGTTCCTTTCATCTCTGGCATTTAACGCAGGGGCTGCCATCGCTTCCTCTGATGAAATTTCATTATTGCTGCAAGGATAAAGAAAACTGATCAGAAGATCAATAAGTTGATTACAAGGGTATCGTGGTTCAGTTTTATTCAACCGAGTCATACCTTTCAGCTGTAATTTTCACCTCTTCAGGTATGCTATTGATAGTAATGTTCTCGGAATCCTTAGCTACCTGCATCCAAACATGACCCTTTGCCTGAAATTCAACATCTGAACAGTGGCTAATTCTGTAGCACATTTAGTGTGTCAGATCTACTGCTTGATTTTAGTGCTTTTTCATGGCTATTGTTCATGTGTACCATGTTGTGTGTGTAGTAGCATTTCTGGAGAATTTCCAAATTTTACCTATGGAAAAATTTGAGGAAGAGTATTGGGTGCTGTTTCAATAGGGATCCACTGAGATGATCAAGTGTTCTACATATTGTACAATTTTGTAATTGAATTGGCACATCTTCCATCAGTCTTAGATGTTTGCAATGTGTCAACAATTTTGTTTTTAGAAGAGCTCTGGATTTTCATGATTTTTGTTTTATTTGGTTAGATTTTCTTCACGCACTATAATTTTCTTTTGCATTTTAAAGTTGTTTAGTGCTGCTAAAGCTGAAGTTTCTATTCTTTTGGGAAGAATTTATAAGCTGTTTTTTAAAGTCACTTCAGCTTGAAAGCCAAAACTCATTTGCCTTCTTTCATTGTCAGCCAGAAATTAAATTAAAGTCATTAAATATATATATATATATATTAAAAAGCAAGGTTTGGATTCTCTCAAGTTGGCCATCCAACTTGAGAGAGCGTTGGGGCTTAATAGGCTCATTTTGAGGCCGGTCTTAATAATCCTAACCATTTACTTTTTAAGATTTGTTGAACATACATGCAAAAAAAAAAAAGGATGATCAGGTATCGGTTACTATATTTTGATTCACATTTGTACTACATAGTTTCCACATTAAAGTTCTTAAGAAAAATTCCTCTCTTTGTTAAAAGTTCATACAATTATTACATAGCTTGTAGTGATTGGTTTTTGTTTAAATTTTGTGTTCACTTTTTTGTTAGCCAAAATGAAGTTGATGAACCTATAATAATCTATGATGTTTTTTTATTAGCAGTTTTCTAAATGTTTTGTGTTTGATTTAATTCTTCAAGTGTGTTTTTGTATGGTTTTGTATGGTATATCTATGTGTAATGATTATTTTGGATTTGATAGGGAATGCTTTTGGTGGGCGTATAAAACTTGTGCATAGAAGTTGTTTGAGGATTTGCTAAAGGGACTAATACTTCATTGCCTCCAAGGTTTGACATAAATATAAATTATTAATGTCTTGTGTTCAATTTCATTGTTTGATTCTATGTATTTATATGGGATATCTGTGTGCGATTTTTCTTTGGATTTGTTAAGCAAGGCTCGAACTTGGCATAAACTAATGCATAGAAGCTATTAGAGTACACTTCCAAAAATGCTTGTACTCTTCTATTACAGTACCTCTTCTGTGGCAGTGTTATTTTTTTTGTAGTCGAGTTTGCTTTTGAGTTGTCATTAACTGGGGTTTCCATGTGTTTGCAGATGGGTCTATCGATGAACAACTGAATGGTGAGTCAACCCAAAATCTTTTGCCTGTCCAAAGGGTTCTGAGAGTAAGATAGGAAGGCATTGTGTGATCCACATAGCATTTCTACATCAATGAAATGTATAGGAATAATTGGATTCAAACCTGAAGAAATAATAAATAGGAATAGTGTGCTCAACATATAAAGCTACTGTGTTGCTTTCATTGTGGAGTGATGGTTAATATTATGGATTATACTCATACCAAACCATAAAAGATTTTTGTCTACTCAAACTTTTAATAAATATTTTGGTCTTCTCAAATATGATGGTCAAAATTCATCATGGAATCTAATGGAGATTGGCATGATTATTCTCCCAACCAACAGTAATATGAACCACATGCACGAAGTAGTGCAACCTTGACGCTCAACAGCAATGTGAACCCCATGCGCGAATCCAACTGGTTTATTAAAACTTCTTGTCTATTAATTTCTTTTTCACTAATTTTCTTCTTGTTTGTTGGTGGTGGTAGCAATGGGTGTTTTAGTTCCACTTGACATGTGAATTTTCACCACTGCGATGAGAATAAGCAATATGAACAGCAATTGCCTAGTTTTGGTTTTTTTAAACTGAGGCAGTTGCCTAGTTTGACACTATAACAACACTACATTTTCTAGGGGGAAATGTTGTTGCCAAGAACTTTTTCGTGTCTAACGTGACTTCAATGTGTTCATAGTGTGTCTGTCTGAGCTAACAAAAAATTGTGCCACTCCAATTCGCTTGTCTGACATATGTCTATTGAGTATCCAATGTTGTCTATTGAGTCTCCATTGCTTGTCTGTGTTTGACTCTGAAGAAGAGGACGTGTTTCATAACTGGTAATGAAGAATTGCTCATAAAAGTTATCTTTGCATGTCTCTAGTATGGTCAGGGGATCAAGTATCAATCATGGCATGGGGCTTTGCTTCTGCAGTTATTTATGCAATCCAGTTTTTAACCAATGCCAAAAATAAATTCATACTATCTATTTGTGTCGGTTTGGAATTTAGAAGTGTTTTAATTCAGTTTTGTTCAGCCTTTTAGCAATCAATAAATGTAGGAAGAATGGTTGACTCTGGCAAATACTTGGGTTTACCATACCTTCTTGGTAGGTCCAAGAAAGAGGTTTTCAATTTCATCAAGGACAGAGTTTGGAAACAGATTAGTGGATGGAAGGAAAAATTTCTTTCGGTGGCGGGACGAGAGGTTCTGATAAAAGCTGTGGCTCAAGCCATCCCTACTTATGTCATGTTGTGTTTCCAACTCCCAGAAACATTCTGTGCTGAGATTGACTCCATTGTGTGTGTCGATATTGGTGGGGTCAAAGTAGAGATGAGCAGAAAATTCATTGGACCTCATGGGAAGCTTTGTGTCGCCCGAAATGGGAGGGAGGAATGGGTTTCCGCCGATTGGTGGATTTGAACCGTGCTTTGTTGGCCAAACAGGGCTGGCGTCTCCTTCAGTCCCTTGACTCGTTACTTGCACGGTTGATGTGGGCCAAGTATTATCCGACCTCGACGTTTTTGGAGGCAGAGTTGGGATGCAATCCCTCTTTCACATGGCGGAGTATTTTTAATTCTAGACCCCTGTTGATGGCCGATTTACGGTGGAGAATTGGAGACGAGCACATTGTTAAAATTTGGGGCGATAGGTGGTTGCCTCGGGGTCATTCTTTTCTCCCCATTTGTCCTCCTCTTCCTCATGATACTATGGTAAGTTTTTTGTTAGATTCAGCCCGTAAGTGCTGGGACTTGGGCAAGCTACAAACCCATTTACTTGATGTTGATGTGGATGTAATTCGAAAAATTCCTATTAGCCCTTGCCTGCCTTCTGATACATTGATTTGGCATTATACTCGTGATGGGAGGTTTTCGGTTCGGTTGGCTTGCCATTTACAAATGAATCTGTCCAGAATTGGATCATATCCGGAATCATCCAATAGAGGGGAAGCCACACGGCGATTTTGGAAAGGGGTTTGGCACTTAAAAATTCCGCACAAGATCAAGGGCTTTACATGGAAGGCATGCTTGAATATTATCCCAACCCGGGACCAGTTATGGCAACGCCGAGTGCCTATTGAACTTGGGTGTGACTGTTGTGACGAAGCTGTAGAGACTTTAATGCACTGTGTTAAGGAATGTGACGTGGCGCAACAAGTATGGGCTGCTAGTCCTTTGCCGTTCGTTACAGATATTAGGGTGGGGTATAATTTTTATCATTGGGTAGTTGAGGTTGCGAAACAAGTTGATGAGGCAGGCTTGGGGTTGTTCTTTGCACTGTGTTGGGGCTTATGGTTTGCTCGAAACCAAGCTATATTCAATAATGTTAAGCGGGTTGCCACGGTGATTGTGCAGAGAGTGTGTGCTCATTTACAAGAATTCTGTCAAGTCAGAGCCCAAGTTCAAGGATTGAGGGTCTGTCCTAGTCCGTCGAGATGGAGGCCACCGCCAGTGGGTGTGTTAAAGATTAATTTCGATGCAGCGACTTTTGGTGCTCTGGAGGCCATTGATTGTTCGGGAGGCTCATGGTACAGTTCTTGCAGCCATGTCGGAACGACTGCCGCATTGGGTTGATGCAGATTGTGCTGAAGCTTTAGCCGCGGCAAGTGCGATTGCGTTTGCTGCAGAACTGGGTCTGTATCATATTCAGTTGGAGGGGGACTCTTTATCCATTATAAAAGCTTTCCACTGTGAGGATCAAGTGCTCTCCACGTTTGGCCATATTCTCCAAGGTGCTGTGTGTACAAGCCGTTGCTTCACCAGTTTTTGCTGCTCGCATGTGTTGCGCAATGGAAATAAGGCTGCTCATGGGCTGGCTCGTATGGCGGGTCATGTGACCGGTAAGAGAGTTTGGAGGAATGAGGTGCCAGCTGAATTATGTAGGATTATTCGGGCCGAGTCTGTTTAGTTTTTATTTGTATTGACCTTTCTAAAAAAATAAAATAAAATAATTGATATAGAATATTCTACATCATATGTTGTAAATTCAGTTTTTAAAAGCCACATCTTTACCTTTTTTCAATTTTTTTTTTATCATTATTATTATAAATTTTAGATAAATGGAGAAATTATAAATATTTCTAGTTTTAACTTTTAATTTTTTTCAATCTTAAGGGTCAAAATGAAAAAAAAGAAAATTTAAAGGCTATAGTAAGAAAGTGATCAAATATAAAAAGTGTACGGGAAAAAAATAAACCTTCTCGTATAATTCTGTTGATCAAGTCTGCGCTCCTCTGTACGTCGTCGCTTTGTCACCTGAAAACACAAACGTGAGCTAGCCGCCGGTTGTGTGCCGGAAACCTCTTCGATGCCTAAGTCAGTAAGCTTGACAAATAGACAAAAGCTCCGTGTAGTCTGAAAGTAAAGTTATGTGTTACCTCTCCAAAGGTGATGTTTGTGAGCTTTTATAGGTTTCGTATAACACAATCTTAGTAGGACTTTTATTCCTCCATGCAGAGTCCTCCTAGGATTTAACCTCCTAAAGGATAATCCTTATCCTCCAACACCCCCCTCACTGCTTAAACCAAGTGAGATGGTTTTTACCATGGCCGAACTCCAACATGACCGAAGTAATCATAGCTATGCTGAGCCGCAGAATAGGCCGAACTATCCTTAGTTCGGTTCTTCCTTTTACTCATCCTTATCTCGGTGCTCTCATGCACAAACCATGGTATGTTTAGACCGAGCTACCGAGTAGCAAGGTTCTGACCGTTCTAAACACAATACGTCATGACCGGACTAACTCTGAGACCGGCCCAACTCCAAGTCGCTTCCGGACTGGTGTAACTTTACATTTCTCTCGGGCCGGAGTAATCTTTTACCTCTCTTGGGCCGGAGTAATTTTACGGCCTTTTTACCCAGCCCTTCGTACTTTGGGCCATAATGACCATCTCATAGCTCGGCCCAATTTTCACTAAAATTACCCTCTCAATTGCCCCTTAATTCCATTTGCACAACATGATTGGGATTACCTGTTTGTCAGCCAAGCTGAAGTTTTTAATCCTTTCCAGCCAAGCTAAAAAACCCTTTAACCTTTCCAGCCGAGCTAAAACTCTTAAGGCCCTGTTTGGTTTGTATTTAAGAAACATGTTTTGAGATAAAAAGTACGAAAATTTGTTTGGTTTGATTTTTTTTCAAAAGATGTTTTGAAAAATTATTTTGAGAGAGAGTTTTGAAAAAAGTAATTGATTTGATGTGTATGAGAGAGAGATTTGTTTAAAAAAATTGTAAACCAAACAAGTTTTGGAAATTTTTTTTGGGAAAATATGTTTGGTTTGATTACTTTTGAAAACTTATTTGTAGAAAATTTTTCCCAAAATTTTTTGAGAAACACAAACCAAACAAGGCCTAAGCCTTTCAGCCGAGCTAATTTTACACCGGGCTCTGCTTGTCCGGTCAAAACGTCTCTTCAATCACAGCGACTAAATCGTTTCTCCTTCCCAGGACACGTGGCATGCTCTGATTGACTGAGGACGGCTGTCACGCCGTCTTCGTACTTCGTGAAATTTGAACAGTCCCGCCCTTTTTCCTTTACCTAAAACGAGTCTCTTCATTTTGCCATATTTTGTAACCTTTCCTTATCTGAGCCTCCATTGCTTCTTCAATCTTCTGAGCTCGTGTTCTTCATAACTGTTAGTCTCCCTCCAACCTTTGCCTCTTCGTCAGGTAAGCACTGCACTTTTACTTTGTTTTCGTATTTTGCTTTCTGTGTTTTGTTTTCTGTGTTTTTGCAAAACGTATTTTTCCATTTTGCTTTGCTTTGTACTTTTATGAAAAAAACGTCACCATAGAACACATGAGTATATGAAATATCCTGTAGAAAACTGGTTTTTGATCCAAAATCATGATGCAACCAAACTAGGAAACTGTTTAAGCCAGGTAAAAGTCTAGTCAGCTTACAACCGGACTAATACTTCATGTTTACATCAGTAGCTTTGAATAAGTCAAACCACTTCTTGATAGACCTTAGCCGAGGTAACCAACCGAACTAGGTTTGCACTTAGCATACTGAGATACCTGAACTCCAACCGATCTAGGCCTTTGGGGCTAAACCAGCTTTCTTAGTTTTTTAGATGGAACCCAGAAAGTTGCCCCTAGACGATCAACCGGTCAAACAGAACCGTTTCCACAACCGAGATATCTAGACGCTTGCCAAGCCCGAACTAAAAAAGCCCTGCTCAAACCGAGCTGTAAATCACCTTGCAGAAACCGAGATAAGACCTGTAGCATCCACATAGCCGAAGTAGGGCTCCTATTTTTTACTTTTATTTTGTAGCACGGTCCAATGATCTGTGCTTAACCCCTTTGTTTTCTACTTTGCAGACTTAGGTTGCCCAGGCACTCCTCTGCGCACTCAACCAAGCTACTGAGCAAATTTTTTGTACCGATCTAATTTATTCATAATTTATACAAAAAATGAGGAAGTATAGATATTTAGTAAATACTCCGGGCGGTCTTGCCGAATTTCGAAAAGATTACAATATACCCGATGACGTCCACCTGATTTTGGCCGAAAAAGATGTCATACCTTGGGGCAATGAAGGCTTTGTCCCCTTCACACTTTTGTCCATAATTGAAACCGGACTACGATTTCCAGTCCAACCCTTAATTTGTGAGTTTCTTAGGCAAACCAGACTATGCCCAACCCAACTATCCACCAACTCTTACCGTATCATAATGGGAATAGCCGAACTAAACCACCAAGCCGGTCTCAACCTTGGTCTGGCCGAAATCTTCCACCAATACTCCATTGGTTCAAAAGAAGATGGGTGGGTCTACTATTTAAGAATACGCCGTCGCCAAGAGAAGATAATAAAATATACACCGGATAAAGACTTAAACGATGATGATTTTTTCTGGGTGTCTGGGAACTTTGAGGATCATCAAGCCCAGATTCCTGGCCGACGTATAAACTGGAAAAAAGGAGAACCCGGTATATTTACTTTGGTTTTCATGCGTGCTTTATTATATTTCGGTTTTTCAATCTTTCAGCCGAACTAACAGTTGTCTTCTTTCGCAGATTCTGCCCACCTCCATTCTCTATACAGCTACCCCAATCTAGCGACCTTGCGCGCTGCACTACGGTATCCAGAACGTAGTTGGGCTAAGCTGCTAAAGTTCGAGCCGACCTACAGATACAGCGGCCACCGAAAAGCGAGGGTGACCGACTTTCTGCTAGAGGAGGCCCCAGAACCGGACCCAACCTTGCCAGAAATCAGATTAATCCCACTGACCGCTGAAGAAGAAATGGCTAAAAGGAACAGAGTAAGGGCACTTCTAACCGAAACTAACAAACCCGAGGTACCACAAACCGGTCAGACGACTAAGACCGTGGTAGCCCTTCCATCCCAGCAGCCATTCTCATCTCGGGCGAACAAGCGTGCCCGGACAAGCCAAACCGAGCAACGCCTAGTCAACGAAGACGAGTCCATCCTTCCACCAAGTCCTCAACCCATCTTTCAACCGGAGCAATCTGACCGAGCTGACTCCTCCAAATGGGCTCCAATTCTCACCTTTCAAAACCGAAATATCCAGGAAACTGACTCGGTTGTTGCTGAGAAGGATCACTTGATGGCTTTCAATCTAACCAAGAGTGTTTGCCTTCCAAAAGATATGGAGCACCACAACAAGCAACTAAACACCGAGCTGAAGGCCATCCGGTCATCAACAAAATCAATGATCCTGGTAGGTGGCTCTCTGTTTTCTTTGTCTAACTTTTTCCCAACTGTTAGTCCGGCTAAAGAGAGTTATTATTTTGCAGGCCATTCAGAAGAACAACATTGCACATAGGAAAGTACTGGAGCTCCGGAAAACAACGAGACAGGCAATGGCGGAAGCCGAAGTCAAGACTGCCGAACTAAAACGTTCTCAAAAAAGGATGGCTGAGTTGGAGGCCGAGGTAACACGTCTAATCGGACTAGTTGCCTCGGCTGACAGTGATAAACGGCGAGCTGTTACCGAAGTGAAAGACAAATATTTGTGGGAGATGGCACAGCTTGAGGGCGCCAAAGACGCCAAAATAACAGTTCTGAAGAAGAAGGCTGAGGACGCCGTGGTGAAGGGTTTCAAGGATGGCGAGGCTGCGTACATCCAATAGTGTGAAGCTGCGAAGGACTTGTTCTTCAAATGCAGCTGGAGGGGTGCTGTGGAGCAGCTCGGTTGTGGGTCTGACACCGATGTCTACAATGCTCCGCAGTATTTCATTCCAGCCTCACTGGCGGAGTATGCTGCCGACCTCCAGAAACAGTTTCTTGATGCGTCTGACGATGAAGAAGAAGATGAGCAAACTGAGACTCCGGTTGTCAATGCGGCTGCTAACGATCAATTAGCTCGGTTGGAGCCAGTAGTCGAAGACTTGACGACCGAAAATGTGCTTCCAACAGAGACCATGCTTCCAACTGAGACTGTTCATCCCTCTGAAACCAGAGTTGGTGTTGAAATTGAAGCCGATCACGATGATCTTTTTGACTAATTTTGTATTTTTCTTTTTCTTGGACTTATAACCGGGCTAAGGACCCCCCTTTTGTATTTCCTCTTTGATGAATGAAAAATTCCTTTTTCTTATTTCGGTTGATCTGTATGTTTGTACTTGTAATGACTTTTCCATGATCTTTTCACTTCCAACTGTTATCTCGGTTTTAAATTCTTGCTTTCTAATAGTAGAATGGCCGAGATACTTTATTCCGGTCTCATCTAAGTAATCTGATTGAGCTTACTAGCCAACCACTCTTTAGCCGATGTCCTTACTTCGGCTAAAGAGTACTAAAAGTTGGTTTAATTCAGCCATGCACTCTTTGTCGATATCCTTACTTCGGCTAAAGAGTACTAAGAGTTGGTTTAATCCAGCCAACCACTCTTTAGCCGATGTCCTTACTTCGGCTAAAGAGTACTTCCAGGAAGTTTAACCCA